ATTTATTCATGTGATGGCAAAGCTGAATTTTCAGCATCATCACTCCAGTCTTCAGTGCCAAATAATCCTTGAGAAATCATTCTAATATGATGATTTTGTACTCAAGAAACATTTCTTATTATTATTAATGTTGAAAACAGTTGTGCTGCTTAGCATTTTCGCAGAAACTTTTAATACATTTTTTTTTCAGGATTATTTGATGAATTCAATACAGTAAAAACAATAATACTACAATTTAAAATGGCTGTTTTCTATTTTAATATATTTTAAAATGTCATTTATTCCTGTGATGGCAAAGCTGAATTTTCAGCATCATCACTCCAGTCTTCAGTGCCAAATAATCCTTGAGAAATCATTCTAATATGATGATTTTGTACTCAAGAAACATTTCTTATTATTATTAATGTTGAAAACAGTTGTGCTGCTTAGCATTTTCGCAGAAACTTTTAATACTTTTTTTTTTCAGGATTATTTGATGAATTCAAAGCACAGCATTTATTTGAAAGAGAAATCTTTCTGTAATGTAAATGTCTTCTTTACTGTCACTTTTGATCAATTCAATGCATTCTTGTAAATAAAAGTATTCATTTCTTTAAAAAAAAATCGTACCAACCCCAAACTTTTGATGTAAAATAAATAAAATATGTAAATAAATAAAATTGGATGTAAGTAAATAAAATAAATAAAACACTTTGCACACAGTGCACAAAGGAAGCACACAGTCCGTTCCAGACAGTTTATGTTAAGCTTGTAGCTTTATTAAAGCACTTACATGAATTATTCAGTAAAATCCTGCTTTATTTGAGCTTTCCAAATCATCCCTTTAAAGTAGAACTACTTTAAGATGGATGTCTAATTCCTGTTAATTCCTGTAAAGATTGAATATAACCCACTAGTCTCATGCCAACATGTATTTTAAGTTTTTTGGCCATACATTTTATATACCGTGTATGTTTTATTGCCTGGTGAATTTTCATTGAAATTACCTTACTGTGAGCATGACTTTTTTTTATGACTGACAGTTTTCTGTGATAATCAACATTATGCTGTTAGTATAGATTGTATTGAATATGTAACATTCCGTTAATACTACACCCCGACATATTTAATAGCCTTTTATATGCATAGTTTGAACACAAGAGGGAGCACTTTACAAGTAATCAAAGTCAGCATAATATCATATTCATTGCCAGGCAGTAATCTCAAATTAATTTCATAATCTAACAGCTGCTGAGATCATTCGGCTTGTTGCACAGCTGAGCCAAATATTTCATGGGCTATAATGCCAGCTTAAGAAGATACATGTCTTACAAAAGTGACATCCCAACCAATCTGATCTCAGTTAACTCTTAAAAGAAAATAAATAATAGGAAAAAAATGCATTAGGAATCTAGATTTCACAGCAACAATGTCCTAATGCTCAAAAAGGTTCTCAACACAAACACACAATGACAATATTCCAGATAGGCAAATATAGAATCTGCACAGAATTTACACAAATGGAATACCTGTCATTAATACAATTCTGCACATTCAGGCCCAAATCAAGTCAAAGTGTTTTAGTTATGATAAAGAGAAATAAAACTACATTCTTAAATCATTTCAGAATAATGAATTTAAAAATTAATTAATTAAAAAGATACATTTAAAATTTGATTAAATATAACGCATTAAAAAAACTTTAAGTTAAAACTTTATATTGAGGATAATTTGGTTGTGCTTTCAGCCAGAAGCATCAAGCCCATTCAGTTCTGCATAAATCTGCAGATTTCTGTGGGTTTACCATAAACAAGGTCATATAAAACCAACCTATTTTCAACCTAAAAATGCATAACATTCAGCTTATTCGAATCTGTATTTTCTGTCTCTCTGATCCCTCCGATGATTTCTCATGCTCAGCCGTTATAATGCGTATCTGTGTGTACTCTGGTGAGGGAGGGGGAATCCTAACTCCTCAGCACAGCTTCAGACCTGTCCCTTTTTCAGTGATTTATGCCGTCATGTGGGTCAGGGGATCAACAACGATTGAGAGATTGAAACATTAAGCTGTTCCAGTACAGCTGCCAGACCTTCGAATGAAGCGCAGGATAAAGAGAGAGCAATGATGGTGACTGGAAAAAGCACGGTGAAAGAGAGATAGCGTGCGCAATCAAGGATGAGATGTGCGGAGCAAAGTTTTAAGCACAATTTTGCATGTTACGTATGAGAAGAGAAGCATAGAGAAAGCAAAGGAAAGATAAGAAGAGATTCACATGGGTATACAAGATGAGCTGCCAGCTGTCCGCAAATCTCCTGCTTAGCACTGATTGCATAAAAATTCTAATCTGAGCTAAAAGCATGCAGAAGCAACAAACCAAATGGACAGAAGTGAACCGGCCTGTACTCCTACAAATAGGTGCCCTCCGTTTTAAGAAGCCCCTGACCTGGGAAAAAGAAGTGCGCTTAACTGTATCGAGTGTACTTCAAATCTTAAGTATAATTTAAAAAAACTGTACTTGCAAATAATAAAATATTAAATCTAATAAAAAGCCACTGAAGTGTATTTAAAGAGGACACTTTCACAGGTTTCTTAACACACTTAAGTACACATGAAAAAGTGCACTTTGTCAAAATGTCAAATTAAAAGATTCTAGTAAATTTTAAATCATTGTTTTAATAATCTTTAACACGATTTAAAAGAAGTACACTTATTCTGATGCATTGACTAACAAAGCACAAGTAAAGTACTTAATTATAATTTTAAATGTAGTGTGTTATTTGATATTACATGTAAAGTAAATATATTTGAAATGTACTAAATTGCAACTTGTTTATGAATGTGTAAATACAAACACATTTAAACAGATGACATTCAAGTTTCAATAGAAATTACATTAAAGCAGTGATAATTTAGTATCATTGACACACAGTTTTTATTAATAATTAGTTTTTATTTTATATTTCAGCTAACATTTATTTCAAGTAACAGTTTTATGCTTTTAGTTTTAGTTAACTATAATTAACCCTGCATTAAAGTATTAACCATATTTTAAAAAAAAAAACAGAATTATGAAATTGTATATAAAACATACTACTTAAGTGGTTTTAAAAAACAATTTGTATGCATTTGATATAAAATTTAAACTATACTCCATTTTCATTTAATTGCAAATAACATGCAGTTACCGTAAGTTTCCAAAAACATTACATTCAGTTTGTATTTAAGTATACTCTTTTAAAGTATACTATTTCCATAATAAGAACTCTTTTTTTTAAAGTATGCTAAGGTGTACTTATTTTTCATAGGTGTGAAAATGGCTTAATGGCCTTATGGGTTTAATTGATTATTAATTAATTAGTTACATTTATATAGCGCTTTTCTGGGTACTCAAAGTGCTTAACATGAAGCGTTTAGAGAAATGCTACAAATTCACTATAAAAAAAAGTAATTACAAAGATAATTGGGTTATATACAACACTTGATGTTTGATTATTTTTCTGTCATTGTAGAAATATCTTCTATCAGTGTGTAGAAACTCTTAAACATACTGCAATGTTTTGGAAGTGACAACCACATTTAAATGCTGGAGTAAATCCCTTAAATTTCAATCAGGAACACTGTGCAGTATAAATATGGTTGGAATACCTACAAGAAACAGGATTAAGAGAAGTGACAACTGTATTTATCTGCAGTATGCGCATGGTCACGGAGAGCATACAATGTTCCACACTTCTCCTCATGACTCACTTCATGTAGTTCTGTCAGGACCACTATCGTCAATATAACTTACGATTAGCATAAATTTTAGGTTGGGGGAATGGTTCTGTTCTGGGCAAACACTCCCTGCCCATCCACGCAGCCTAGCATGGATAGGAGCAGGGAGAGCAGAATACATATCCGGTGCTTCAATGAAAAACTGCATGAATAACATGAATATTATTACTTAGACGATCATGTTTAGTGAACCATTAAGAATGCCTGAAGGATTACATTTTTAAAGTGCTGCTTTCTTTGTATATTTTGAGGTGACATAAAAGAGTGCTTCCTTAGGCACCTGCACATCATGGGTTGATTTAAATACACAAATATTATTTTTGTCATATGAAGGTCACGTTTAAAATGGTCTAGGAAACTTTTTGACATGCCTTCATCATTCATTTTTTAATTTATTTTTCAAATGTCTTTTATGTCTACATTTTGTTTTTTGTTTTTCTTTACCTAGACATATTAAATTATTAAATATTAAAAAATATATATATTTTTAGCACAAACACCCCAAAAAAGAAAAAAAAAGAAAAAAAAAAGAAAAACAAACAGCATGCTTGATATTTGTCACACCCAGGACAAAGAGGCAGA